AAGCACAAGCAAAATGTAAGTAGACGCGATCCCTTTGGGCTCGAAAAAAAGAGAGCAAAGTCATATAGAGGGAAGACTGCCATGATTGCTGACCATATCTCGGTGTCTACTTCGCAGTGGAGTGAAGAAAGGGCACTGACCATGCATTTGGTCTTGACCACATTAGCTGGCGATGAAGCCCAGCCAACAATTGAAATTAAAGAGTTCGACCGACTGCATGAATTTGAAGATGCAGTCATGGAACAACTGCCTGTGAAAGGTGAAAGCAGCACCTTTGGGTGCGAACTGAGGTTTGTTTGTCGCAACTCGCAACAGAAGCTAGTTGACCCAATCTGGCACACGTTGCGAGATTGCAACTGCTTTACTGTTGTTGTCAGCCCCTGCTTCGAGCAAGCCGAGCATAAGGGGCAAATGCAAGGGGAAGCCAAAGCCCTGCAAGTCCCGTTCAATGACTCTGATCGGATTTTTCCACAGGCCTTCGCGCACGTTGCAAAGGTGCGGCGTGTGCAAGCTATGCATTGCGCAGAGTCATAGCGCCAGGATGCAAGCAGTTTGGAGCACAGGTCTTTGAAGAGCGCTGTGCGCTTCTGCAGATTGGGACTACTCATGATGCCACCAATCAGCTTGCTCCACAGGCAGAACTCATGCCCCGAGCCTTTCGTAAATGTACAGTGCTGCGTCAAATCAATTGCGAGCTGACGGAGTACCATCCGAACGGCCGGACGCGATGTTTGCGGGAATGCTGCTTCATGGAAGCTGGCTTAACCGCATTGACCCTACCTCCAGATTTTAATTGGATGGGGCCGGGTGCCTGCGAGCGGTGTATGCAGCTGCAATTGGTAGATCTCTCACGAACTGAAATCACAGAAATCATGGGAGGTACCTTTGCACACTGCAAACACTTGCAAACATTGAAACTCCCTGGAGTACTGAGGATGATTCGACAGGAAGCCTTCCTCAAATGTGCCTCCTTAACAGAGGTGCACGTGCCTCCCACATTGCTCTATATTGCACGACGAGCTTTTGCGGGGTGCACACAGCTCTGTCGCTTTCAGAGAAATGGCCAAAGTGTGACCTGGCGGGGCACCTACTCTCGAGGAAATGCTTTTCTTCGCTGTGACAACTTAGATATGCCGAATTGGGTTCGATGGTTGCCACGCACTCAAGAAGACGAGGATCAATGGGCAGATGACTCCTTTGCTGCCCTCGATTAAGGGTTGGTGTCGACGTGCTTACGGATGTCTTGCGTCACTGCTTGCGCCCGTGTGCTGGCTAGACCCCAATCATATCCCAATCATACCTCGTCATGTCTTTTTGAAAGCTGCAAGCGCACTTGTTTACCAATAATGACTACATAAGCAAAGTAGGCTGCTGACCAACACCCGTGTGCTGGTCCTGTGCGTACCAGCATTAGGAAAACGGCGTCTCACCCTGTTTCACCTCCTAACTTAGTATCATAGTTCATGGAGCACATGCATGTTTTGGCCGCTCCTGATGGCCGCGGTGGAAAGAGGCTGATAGAAGATGAAAAGCAACACAAAGTGCAGTAATTGTCCAGGATGGCTGCCCACACCTGGAGCATGTCACGCTTTACGCTCTGTGTCAAGCCCTGCGTGCTTGACTTGCCTGACATGCTCTGCTTGTGCCTCCCCCTCTGGGGGAGGAAAGGGAGGCACCTCTCCCTTGCCACCTCTTTTGAACCATTTCGGTGACCTTGCACTGTCCTTCATCCTCGGCTTTTTGGAAATACCGAGCTGAGTGACCGTGGTTTTACTTTGACGGCACCTCCTTGGTTCCGCATTCGTGGCTACCAGCTGGCAAAAAGGCAAATCGTGACGAATGGACCCAGGTCAAAGGGCCATTCCCTCACTAACAATTCGCTTCTATTTGATGCACACTTTCACTGGTGGTATGAGCACAGTAGCAATGCTGCAATTTTGGACTGTGCCATCCTTTCCATCGTTTTCATCCTTGCCTTTTTGGTGGTGCTACGGCACTCACAGGGTGATAAATGCCTAAGCAGTACTTGCAACAGCACATGCAACCGTTTGCTCGTTGGGCTCTTATGCCCCTGATTCGATTGCACCTTGCTCCGCTTCATGAAGAACAAGAAGTACTGAGCGTTTTGCGGAATTCATCGCCCCTGTCTCACCTTCTTCATGCCTTCTTGGCTCTCGGAGCTGCGCTACAGGTTGCACTCTTTTTGGGTTTTGTTGTGTTGTTTTTTGGTGGGTGTTGGGTTGCTTTGGTCCTTTCGTGTTATGTGCAACCTGTCTAGTAACTCCTTCTTAACTCGACTAAGGTGACTTGTGCATGACCTGCACACACAGCGCCTCCACTCGTGCAAAAAAAGCTTTGTGTAAGTCTGTTCGATGTTGGTTGGTTCTTGGTTGCAGGTTTGGGTGGAGGACCTCGGTTCGACACCACTTGTTTGAAGACCGCATGTTAACCCTCCAGACTAGGGAATCAAGGTTGGCATGTGTTTAGAGAATGTTTGCGATGGTGTCGTGGACACCCAAAGACGTTCGGATATATTTTTGGTCGTTTCCAATTGTTTTGAGAATTTTTGAGAACCTTAGAGCCTTTTTTTTGAACTTTCAGCACAGAGAGTGAATTGTTTTTTGAAGCGTTTTGCTGGACAGCACATGTGTGAGGTCTCTACGTGACCTTTTGAGAATGTCTGAAAGCTTCTTCGAAGCTTTACCTGAATGACTTGTGGGTTGCGAACGTTACTTTGGCTCAAGTGTGCGGTGAAAAGAGTGTTACTTTTCTTCGTTTTTTGGACTTGGGTCGTAGAGATGCTTGACTGACTATGACTAGGTGTTTTGAGCACGAGAGCTTTCGATTTTTCGTCGAGAGCTTGTGTGTCAAACTTTCACGCAGCTGACCTTCGCATTCTTGCGACAACGGCAGCTCCACGCGTGCAGCTCCTGAGCAAGATCGTTTGACCATGGAGACGAAGTGATGCCAAGCATGCCATTGCCAGGGTGCAAGTCTTGGTCATTTCGAAGTCGAGAACTTGATGGATTCGGTCGAGAAACTCGCAGGCTGGTTGTGTCCAGTGCACGACAGGTGTGGCTTTGAGTGCGAGAGGCTTTGTGCATGGAAGGGGAAATCATGACCAAGAACATCGCGCTGGACGACTTTTCCACCTCACTCAACAAGCTACCCAAAGGTTGAGAACATGATTCGCAACCAGATTGGCTAGGGGAGTTTCAGATGCTAACGGCTGTGCTTCGCCTTGTTCGGCGAGTTCTCATTGTACAGTTGGCGGGGAGGCACTATACTACTAAAAGGGAGCTTGTGCTGAAATTCACTGTGAAGAAGCCTTCTGTTGATGGCTTTTGCGTGAAGTTCGAACAGAGATTGCATCCTTTCACAACATGGAGGCCAGTGTGATGGCCAGGGCTTTGGTTGATTTGAAGATCAGAAGAGATCAACATCTGTTGTGTCTCAAGAACTTGCCTGACAAAATTGCTGAACACATTCAGCTCATCAGTGGTGCAGGGACTGTTCAGCAGTTGTGGCGTGCAGTCAATGAGTCCCACATTCGAAGTGGTGCAACTGGTTCTATTGAGCGTGCACATGCAGTTCAGGGTTCCCCAATTCGAGGCAAGATCCTGGACACATGCAGGCAGATTGTCCCAAACCAAAACGTTGCAATGCGTTGCAAAGCACTGTACGAAACCTTGTTTGGTTGCAATTCACTCACGCAAGTTTCCCATTGCATGCATGCTCTGCGCACCTTTGAGCCTTTGGAGCTGAACAGTGCCGCATTGCCGCTGCATTTTCGGATGGCACCTGGAGTACGCGTTGTCGGGGATGCCTTTGATTGTTCTGTGGCCCTCTCAATGCTTGATGCACTTGTGGGGTCTTGTGATGTCAGCACTTGCTAGATGTCTCGTGTTGTGGCCTGTGCTTTGCACATCTGCCTGAAAGAAAGAGGTTCGCAGCAGCAGCGAATGAGATTCGAAAAATGTTTTGCAACTTCTGTGCAAGATGACGCTTAGATGCTTGTGACGCGATGCGGACCGGGATGCGCGCATCCAGCCCACAAAGCCGTGGCGACCCGAGAAAGGAACGCTGTGCTGCTGTCACAAATAGTGTTTTGCCTGAATTTGTTTTCCAGTGTTTGTTTTGTTTGGACAGCACTTAAATGCATGAGTGGGCATGCTGGAGCAAACATACTGCATACATGTATCTGGTTTTCATTCGCGCCAGTCGCGCTGCTTCGTTTGCGTCGGGTTCTTGGGCATAGTTTCGTCAGCCCGCTCTCCAATCCAAGCAGCTGAGTGGTTGGAGTTGTTCAAGCGGGTTGTGAAGAGGTGTAGAATGTTTGCAATGGCAAGTCAAGCCTCATCTTTAGTGGCCTGTTAGCTCATGAAAGTTCAACAAACTGGCGGGATTCAGGTTTTGTCGAATTCCAGAGCAGACTTCAGTGGCAGTTTGGTTTCAACAGCAGTCAAACATTTTTTTATTGCCGGGAAACTTGTTTGTTCCGGAAGTGCTAGCATCATGGTTTCACCGCTTTCGAGCAGGCATCAAAATCACAAGACACAATTTGTGTTGGTTAGGTGAACTTATGATCTACTGGTTAGTGTCATTGTCTGTTTCAATGTTACATCCAATATCCAAAAATTCCCACTTGTAAACAGCAAAAGGAACCACGAAGGTCATTTGCAATGTGCTTTATGCAAGGCCATGTGGAGGTTTCAATCTATTCATGCTGATCGACAAAAAACCGCAGTTTTGGAAGAATGTTGTCCATCAACCATTGCCCAGGGTGTGGGCTGTTAGCATTTGTGGTGCCCCATCATTTGACCTTTGACGAAGGTCTCCCCGGTTGAAGTTGGTCGCCCGGTTCGTTTCCCATGTCAGCCACTGAGGCTCTAATGCCGCATGCACTGATCTTTGGCGTTACCAGCAGAACATGTGACCGAACCGAAAACCAGCAGAATCGCCAGTTGACGCTCACCAATTGACCAACCCAGTGTGGTTCATGACAAAACGACCAATTCACCATCCGACTCGCTCTGACTCGCCACGATGGATCCGCGCGCGGTCCGGCATGGAACCCTTGGATCGACCGTGGTTCTCTTTTCCGGACGTCGGATGGCTTTTGGGGAGGTGAATGGGTTTGGTTTCCCAGACCTGGCGAATGGGTTTGGACGGACACTCAGAAGTGCATCGGTTTTTCCTCCACCTGGTGCGTCCTATTTTTGAACTCGAAAACACGGTGATTTTGCCAGCAAACACGGTGTCAGAATGGATGTTGATTTTGCACAGAAGATGGCCCAAGAGGTTTGAACCATTATAGGACATGGACAAGTATTTTATTGCCCTGTGTAATGGTCAGGTATTTGGCAAGTTCAGATATTCTATGGTCACGCCAGCAAACATCAGTTTGCGCAGATGTTTTGGGGGTTTGCGCAGGATGCTGCTCCAACACAGGCAGCGCAATCTGACCTGAAACAGGAAGGCCCCGATGTTCTGAGGATGTGCCCAGTTCAGAGATATTTCAGCCATAATTCCATCCCTTGGCTCCCGAGATGTTAGCCCAGTGGAGGAACACAGCAAATGGTTGGATAGTCGATGGTGCCTCAAGTTGATTTTTGAACCGAACGAGAGAGGTGCAAGTTCGACTGGTTTGAAGTGGAAACCAGAAGTTGGATCCCGGAACTTCACCGTTCCCATCCTACAACTGACTGAACTTGATGTTCCTCAAAATTTGGGAACTTGATGTTCCACAACTTGATGTTCCTCAACTGACTGAACTCGTTTGAGAATTTTTATTGTTGATGTGGCCCATGTGCCACAGAGCCCTGCCGAGTAAATCCAGTGTCGGCCCGTGCGTCCACCTGTGCAGCGAGGTCCAGTCCCGTGGGCAAAAGCCTGGTACCCTTGCCGAGGGAAGAAGCAAGACTTGATCCGCTTCTTGGCTGCAGAAGGAGCTGAACACACGCGATCAAGGTAAGTAAGTGGTGGATTCGGGCAGAATTCAAACTTTTGAACAGATTAAAGAGGGTAATCCATAGAACTCTTGTGCATCTGCCAGTAGCTGAAGTCCGTCAACGTCATTTTTTGTCGTGCCGATTCATCCAACGAGACTGGAGCCAGCTGCATTGGAATTCGAATCCAATCTTCTTGGGTGTTCAGTCATGTCAGTCATGTCATCCTGAAGAGGAGCCTTTTTTGAGGTGTCCATTTTGCCAATCTTGGGGGGCGAACCCCAAGCAGGCGGCGGTCCTCCATCATCGCCCCATGCCCTGAGGTTCTTGGGCTCCACCATTCGAAAGAGCTTCGGGGCGCAGTGGTACTATGGCCAGGCCGAATCTGCCATGCTGTGTGGATACGTGCGCACCAAGGGATTAAACAAACGTCACCCTCCCAAAGTGCAGAAATTCTGTCTCCTTCACTCAATCCTTTGGGAGCTGGTGGAGTTGGCGTGGGAGCTGGAGGTGTCCAGTGGACGGAATTATCGAGGTTGAGGCGATCAACTGAACCATCCATCGGCTCATGGACCCTGCAATTAGTGAGTCGCCTTTTTGGGGCACCGAGGTTGGTCGCAGGCTAAGAATCCATTGATCCAAAGAATACCCTGGCAATACCTTGCCCTCATCCTGATTGGTTTCAGAAAACTTAGTTCAAGGTAGACCTCCTAACCTAAATAGGCGATGCCCTTGCATCCAATGGTTCAAGTAGGTGTGGTTTGGCAATTTCTCCCAACAATGCGCTGGTCAGTTCGACAACAATCACCAGCCCACCAGCCCAAGAGGGTGGACCTGGGACGTCGCCGATGGCAGGTCATCGCCATTGATGTCGATGTGACTTCGTCTCGGGTTGCTGTGTCGGTGGATGTGTTGTTCTGAAGAGAAGCCAAGTGGTGTGACAGTGGTGTTGATGTGCGGTGGAGGCAATGTATGTAGAGATTTTTGATCCTAAAGGAAATACAGAGATGCCTCTTACATTTCAAGAGCTTTTGGCCACAAGGAGCCTATCAACCCATTTAGTTGATTGAGGCTGGGAAGATGCCCACAGATGTGTAATGTATATATATATATATTGTACGCATAGAAACGATATTATACCATCCCAAACATTTTCAACGGAAGTTCATTGGATTTTTATGTTGGTGTCATTGTACTTGTTTGCAGATCCCATCATGCTTTGATCCCAAAAGCAAACTTGAATCACTATATACTGTTCATGATCACCAGCCAGGGATACAACAGGTTCTGTCGAGTGTTTAGTTGCTGGAACTGGACAATGACACGCTACAGCAACATGGTCTTCCAATGTTCCATCCTCCCGGGTTCGACTTTCCTCCCTCCCCCCAAACAAGAACACCTTTTTTTTTCACGTCGAGATTTGGGGAGCGTTCTGCTCCACGGTGCTCGACCCGGCGCTCGACCTGTTCGTCCCACCGGCGATGACGACGCTTTGGTTCGTCCCACGTTCCGCGATGTCGTGACACACGACCGACGCAAGGACGCTACGAACGGGGCTCCTGGCATCGCTACGAACGGAGCATTCTTGCTACGAACGGAACAAGAAGCTACGAACGGGGCTTCTTACCATACTAATAGGAGCATGGACGCTACTAGGAGCAAAGGGCATCGCTACTAGGAGCAAGGACGCTACGAACGGAGCTCCGAGGTGGCCTCGGGCGACCGGGCTTATCACATCGCCTACGAGGACGGCGGGCCTTGGGGCGAAAGGGTTAGTTCAGAAAGATGTAAGTCCAGTGCTGGCCCTCTGTTGTAGAGTTGGGGACGTCACAGGTTTTGTGGTGGGTGGTGTTGTACTCTTACACCCTCTTTTCTATCATTTTCATATGCGAAAATATGTGCTTGATGGATGGCCAAGAGGAACAAGTTCTTTTTGCTCTTTGGAAGACAGGTTTCTTCCTCAGTCCTCAGTTTTGTTTGTCTTTGTGAGCGCGAGCTTTAACCTTGACCGTGACTAATGGCCACATCTGCCGATTGAGCATCAAGGATGAAAGTTATTGGAGTGTCTGGCACTACAGTTGCCGAGCTTCACGAGGATGAGCTCTGCTCCATGGTGGACCATGAAAGTTCAGTTCAGGACCTAAAGCGGTTCCTGGCAGATCGGATTGGATACTCCAGGTTTCGGCAAAGACTCTTCAGTGCAGAAATCGGCGAGCTCCATGATGACATGTGTTTGACGCCCTTATCAAGTGTACAACTCGTAGTCCTGAACTTTTGTGCTCCTGATGAGATGGCAGCGGAGGAACTGCTTCGTAAATGTCAGGAGAACCGTTTGTGCGAAATTGAACAGCTGCTTCAGAAGCCACAGGATCCAAATGAGAGAGGTGCAAATGAATACGCCGACGTTCCACCAATTCATTTGGCTGCTTCCGAGGGCCATTCAGAAGCTGTGCAGTTGTTGCTAGAAGCTGGAGCTGACAAAGATGCGGCATTGGCAAACGGGGCAACGGCTATGCTTGTTGCAGCTGATAAGGGCCACTTGGAACTTGTGCGCTTGTTGCTAGAAGCTGGAGCTGAAAAAGAAGCGCAGGTGGACTCTGGGAGAACAGCTTTGTATGTTGCAGCTCGAAAAGGCCACATCGAAGTTGTGCGGCTGCTGCTGGAAGCTGGAGCTGACAAAGATGCAGTGGTATTTGCTGCAACTAAGAATGGCCACTTGGAAGTTGTACGCTGGTTGCTGGAAGCAGAAGCTGATAAAGATGCAACAACAGCTGATGGAAAAACAGCTTTGTTTAAGGCAGCTAAGGATGGGCACTTGGAAGTTGTGTGGATGTTGCTGGAAGCTGAGGCTGACATAGATGCAGCAAGCCAAGATGGGGAGACCGCATTGCACATTGCAGCTCAGAATTGCCACTGGGAAGTTGTGCGGCTGTTGCTGGAAGAAGGAGCCGACAAAGATGCAGCAGCAGGAGATGGGACCACGGCATTGTTTGATGCAGCTGAGAATGGCCACTTGAAGGTTGTGCGGTTGTTGCTGGAAGCTGGAGCTGACAAAGATTCAACAAGAGAAGATGGATTAACCGCATTGTCAATTGCAGCAGCGAATGGTCACTTGGAAGTTGCACGCGTTTTGCTGGAAGCTGGAGGTGACAAAGATGCCTTTTGCTGTGATCTTGCGCAACCGTTGCAACCGTGTTGTATTCTGCATTGTTGTAGGCCTTCTTCGTTCGCCAAGGTGATTAGGTCCTGGTCACATTTCCTCGGTTTAGAGAGACGCCAAGCCTCTGTCATGTGCAAAGTGTTGACGGAAAAAGGGTCAGAAAACATGGTGGTTCCTTGTACGGATATGAATCAAAGAGGGACGTCTTTTGTTCGAATCGTCCGGATCCTTCCAGAGTCTGGAGCAAACGTCCTTTAAACCAACAGGTGTGCGAACATCGTCAGTTTAGAACCAGCTGCAACAGGTCAACTGTGAAGAGCCTGCCCCAGATCTGAAAGCTGTATAGCTTGGACTTCCTGTTCTACTCACACCTTCTTCTTCAAGATTCTCACAAGCCCAGAACATCTGGGGCTTCTCATGTGGACTTCTTTTCTTTTTTTTTTTTTAAATCGTTTTTTGACGGTATCGATTTGTGGCGGGCGGGACGGGATGACGGCGGATGACGTGGTCGGCAGGATGGAGATGAAGAACACCTGAATGCCACAGAGGTGAAGCGCTTTCTAGTGTGGATCCTCGGCCGTGTGTGTGTGGGCCGCTTTGGTTGTGGCTTCACGTTCTGGGCATTCTGGGCCGTGTTTTGACCGCCCTTTGCCAAGTGTTTACAAATGCATCCTGAGATGAAGTTCCCTCGAATCCAAAAGCACCATGGCGTGGTGCATGAGCTCTTCATACAACTTTTGATTGTTAAATTTAGATGGATACAACTATTTAACTATTCGCTTATATGTTGATACAGCTTGGATGGCGACCTTTGCCCGGCTCTTTTCGCTGCTGGGGTCCATTGCCAAGAATTCTGTCCAACTCGGACTTCACTTTGGACTGCACCCCAATGAGTGACACGCGAGAAGATTGGTTTGTGGGAAACTACATGGGGCATGGTCAAGGGAGCAGAGTTCTGATGTCAATATAACTTGCACCAAACCAAGAGGATGCACCTGCTTCATTCTCCACCGGAACCTGCAGAAATGTCACTGAACAAATGGGGCTCTGAACCGGAGACACACACAGTCACTACCCCAATCACACCAGGAACAGGTGAACATCAAATACTTCCTAAGCATAAGCACTACTCTCCCCCCAAAAGCGTGGCAGTCGAAGATGGAACCCTGAAAACTGATCACTTCCCGCACAAATGGCGCGCTTTCCATGCTGTTTGAGGAGGACACTAGTCCAGGGTACAAGTCACATCTGGACTAGAACAGCACATGCACACACACATACATGTGTACACACACATGCACACACACAACAGAACACCACTGCTTCTCTCTCTCTTTCTTTCTTTCTTTCTTTCTTTCTTTCTCTCTCTCTCTCTCTGTCTCTCTCTGTCTCTCTCTGACATCCACCGTGGACACTGGCCACACCGGCCAGGTCATCGCCGGGCGCTCGGCTCCGCCCTCCGACGCGGGGGGCGCGGCAGCTCAGTCACGCTCGACGCCTCGTGGCCATCGACTCCTCCGTGGGCTCGGAGGAGTCCGCCGAACGGGACGCCGGAGGAAGGGAGGAAAGGAGGAGGAAGACGGAGTGATTTGAAGGGTTCATGTTTTAACCCCCAAATAGTAAGATGGGCGGTGGAAAGGACTCTCTCGCTCGCGGCATAGCGACAGTAGGCGCTGTTTGAAGGGTCCACTTCAAGTCGAACTAGTTGCATGTTCGGTTGGAGCGTGACCAGTGAGACACGGAAATGCTGTGTTCGAGGCGAGGGAACGTATAAACCAGTGGGGCTGTTTTTGACTGGAAATGGGATGGCCTCAGAGGCGAAGCTTTGGACCACTCGGTGTCACTCGTCATGTTTTCCTTGAACGTTTGGGGGTTTGGGGGGTCGGAAAGCTTCCTCTTTCGAAGCCAGCTTTCGGACCATGTTCGGCGAAGCAAGTTTCAGAGCCAGCTTTGGAGCACAAGGAACTTCCTGCACATAGTGTAATCTGCTCGCTGAAAACTCGTGAATTTGTAGTGCTTAATTGGTTCCAAAAAGCTTCAGAGTGACAAACCAAACGAACCGAACGAAGCTCAGTCACGTTGGGACCATCCAGGGAGGCTAGGACTTCCAATAAGTCTAGAAATCTAGTCTGGCTTGTGACCCCGCAAAAAGATGGTCCAAACATTTCTCTTCAAAGAACCAACATTTGTGTCTTCGCACAACTTGGTCGCACCAGCCCCCACCAATTCTGTCGGGTTTCCACACCGCCGTTGGGAGATCGATTCTTTTGGGGCACCGCCGTCGATTATAGTTATATCAATTTGGAATGATCCACCTCCCACTCGTGGTGGACATCCAGACGTGCTTGGGGTCGGGCGGGTTGGACCGTGCGCCCAGCTGAGGCTCGCCGCACGGGCGGCGTTCGTCCATGGCGAGCCAGCGGCCTTCCTTGGCGCGCAGTGGGTCTCAGGATGAGTCACACGCAGAAGGGTTGGGGGGTTGGGCGTGGGTTGAGCTGAGATTCTGATTGAAACTCCCCCGCTTTTGGGTCGATCAGCAAGCTTGTCACAGAAAAAAGGATGCCAAGTGGACGTTTCGCCATGTTATATTTTTGTGAAAAAACACGGCCAAGTTCCGTCTTTGAGTCTTGAAGTGAATGGTTCATCTGGCCGCGGGGAAAGCGAGACTCAGGCCCTGATACCTCCTTTCACTGTTGGCCTTGGCCAGGGATTTTTGGACACCCAGGCAGCCCAGGTTTGGTTGTTTCTGTATGTTTCTGTTACTTTCCCTAGAGAGCTATGTCAGACCCATAGACCTCTACGGTTTTGTTGCTTTGATCAGATGAACCTGCGCAAGCGCCGTAAGAGCCATTTTTGCACCGACCGCCCGGGAGTTTTCACCAAAACGCTGGTTTCCATGTCTCTCCAGTGCCGTGGGCCGCCAGTCGTTGCGGGTCCGGAGCGAAGAAGATTCCGGAGAGAGAAACCAAGTGTTACAGTGGAGACAGGAAGAGGATTCTTTTTTGGGGACTGGAGGTGGTCTTTATTGCAGCATTTGATGTTTAAATTTGGAGGGCAATTTCTCTTCTGTTGGATGAAAGCGCGACAAACACAAGATCTGCACAATCTACAGAGCCTCAAGTAGCCATGGCAGTGTTTTCAGGAATTGCCTGAAGCCCTTTGGAGACCCCCCGCGTTTGAAGGACACTTGAGTCGTGAGATCTTGTTTCAGCAGGATGCCCCAACTTCCCATCTTTCGAAAGGGGTGGCCTGTGTTTGGCACGTCTCCCGAAAGCTGCTAATTTGGATGCCTGAAGACATCCACACTGTGCAGTGCTGGAGACATCACCATGCACAAAGGAGTTTCGGATCCTTGTGGATAGGATGGATAGGAACCAGATCTAAGCGTCTGACAAGCTGTCGGACGAAAGTGTCAGTACTGTAAATGGCAAACAACCTCTGGACAGGTTTGTCTCCGGATAGGGGACCCTGCATTTGTTTTTCTGGATGCCACAGGCACACACACAGAGTTGACCGCGAATGGCACCTTGGGCTCACTTTCGTAGGTCACCGGTCACCGGCCCCTTGTTTTTGGGTCCTCAGGGGTCGGGGGTCCTTCAATTCCCTTTCGGTCCTTCACGTTGGATCCCCGTTTCTTGACGGAGACTCTTGCGGGGCGCCCTGAAAGTGTCGCTGAAGGAGAACATCTGACAATTGAACATGGGGCGCTTGTTGGGTGATGGAGTGTTTGGAGTAATGCAGCTCAGTTCATGACCTTTCAACGAAACGGAATGAGGATCCTGTTCCGCCGAGCCCTGCCGCCCTGCCGAAGCCGCGTGGGTCTCAGGTGCCAAGGGACCTTCCTCCACTTGGTAGAGAACGTGTCTGGAGCCACTCAGAGGGCCTCCAGTGAAGTGCGGACACCTTCAGCCAAGATTGAGCCTTGGGAGAATCAAGATTTCCTTTGAGAAAAGGGCGACCAAGGACAAACACGCGTTGTGTACAGAATGATGGAATCTCTTCTGGAATACCTCCTCACTGGTACTACAGTTGAAGATGTGCTGAGTAACGTGCGGTATATTGGGCGCGGTTCCGTCTCTGCAGGGACAACTCCAGGCTGTGGTGTTTAGCAGCTGGTGCTGTAAGTCACAGGTCTACGGTCTACGTGCTACATTACTGTACACTGTAATTACCTTTCTTTCGGTTCAAGGAGTTGGAAAAGGCAATCCCTTTTTTGTTCGGGATCTCCTTTGATGATACCATTTCGTTTTTTCGGGAAACACTTCCGGTTGAACCCGTGGAGACTGGCCTGAGGACCGGGTCCAACCGACTTGGGACCTGCCCATGTTTTCTTTTCGCGGCCACAGGAGACCATGGATTGGCTCCTGTGTGAGACGGCCGATGCCTTCTCTTGGGAGATCGAGCCTTGACGCCCAAAGACCAGTGGACTCTTTGGACTCGGTTCCGCCGGGCGCAGGTGCCGCCCAACGACCGGAGGGGCGCGTTTGGTTACCTGCCGCCAGACCGGGCCGCCACGTGGTCGCGAAAACTCGCACGTGCAGTCGGGCCCGGTCGGTCTCTCCTGGTCCACCCAGTCAGCGATTTGGACACGAATGGACCTTGGACTCTTCTTTGCTTTGAGTCTTTTTCGATACACTTGGGTGCCTGAAGAGGCTGACAACAGGAGATATGAGGGTCGCAATGAAGCATAGAAAGTTTCCCCTTCCAACTGTGGGGTGCTGAGGACTTGGTGTTTCAACTGTCAACACTTCGCATTGTGCTGAGACTGCCCCTTCCGGATCCTCCCAGACCGGCGTGTATTCTTTTTTCAAAACCATACTGGCACATGGGGGGCGGAGAAGTGGGGTGACCTGTGGGGAGCTCCCCAGTTCGAGGGCTGCCCAGTAAACCGGGCTCCAATGGACTTTCCGTCTGAGGAAGCAACAATGTCTGCGGGCAGCAATGGGCATCCGTGGTTTTGCGCGGCTCCATGTGTGCACGCTTTCTATGGGAAGTGCCTCAGGGCTGTTTGGTGCCAGTTTTGCCACATGGGACACCAAGGGCCGAAACGAAAGCTCTCCAGGCGTGAAAGGCTTTTGATGGATTCGCTGGACGAAGCCACGGCGTTGTCTGTGGTGCTCTGGTGCCTTTCTCGCATGGCTCAACGTCGCTGTTTTTATTTTTTCGTGAAAACTTGGGGAGTTTACTTGGGCTTGGTACCAAGGCCGGCAATTGTGCAAAGGCAGAGTCTAGGGGTTAGTTTAGTGTTCCTGTTTGCTTGGCTTCTTTGAAAACCGAACCCAGCCGGACTCACTCCCGTTTCCTCGACACCTCCCGTCCTTCGAGGCACATCCAGAGGCAAAGCTTGAAAGCGAATCTCTATGAGGAGATGAGGCGACGGGCCTTGTTACAGAGTCTTTACATGCCCCACATATCTACGAGCCTTCTATATAACCTCTTTTCTGATAAGGTTGTGTATACTGTATACTCCAAAAAGAAGAACCAAGCAGGTTCTATGGGTAAATACAGTCTTGAGACTCTCGCAAACGCGATCGCCTGGTTTTAGGTGCTTGACTCAGTTCGACGGTGGGCCGCCGTGGTGCCGCTCCGGAGAACTGGACCAATTCTGGGGAACACCCAACGGCAAAGAGCTCAAGTAGCTCCCGAACCTCGAATTCTCTGCTTGGGGAGTCTGATTGGCTCGAAAGAAATACTTAAGAAATGCAGAAGTTGAAATCGCCACAAGATCGATGTCTTCCAGGCTCTTGCTGGCTGTGCTTCAGCGCCGCGTGACGTTGCTTGGGCACGAGGTGCCCTCGCCTTCTTCCGCGCCATGTCGGAGGACGCTCGCGGCCTTGAAGACGCTGCGCGCGCTCAGTTTGGGACGTTTGTTCGAAGCTTGGATGCGAGGTCATGACATCTCGAGTTCGTGGTTTCGTCGCTCTCCGTTTATCACATGTGTGTAGACAGACTTTGGAAGTATATACAGCAGGCAGACAGATACAAAATGAACAATATGTACATGTTTATATACACGACATATATGTAAGTATTATATATATATAAATAGTAGACACTCAGCATATGTGAAGACATATCCCCATGTTTCGTATCGTCACGACATGACCGCTTTTGGCTCAAGAAATCTGACCGTGCTGCTGTGCGCATTTGAGCTTGCATACCTTTGTGCATGGTAGCGGAGCTCCTGGTCGAGCTGGTGGCCTGGGGTTCCGGTGTGCTTGATACGCTGGGTTGGAGCACCGCCTTGGCTCTTGTCGGTGGAGCGGTGTCAGCTGTCTCGGCTGGCCGGCTCCGACGGGAGCGCCTGAGGCGAGAAGAGAGGATCCTGGGCAAGTGGCGGAGATTGGTCAGGAAGATCCAGAGAACAAGGCGATTGCAGCGCCTGTTCCACCAGATTGGACAATACCTTCAAGAGGCCATTGCGCCAGGACTCCTTCGCAGGTCCAGTTCGGTCTACGTCCATGGCAGGACAGGTAGGACTTACACCTCAGGAACTCGTGCAGGCGGTCCAGCAGCTCCAAGTGCAGGTCAATGAAGGCCAGCAGAGAGAAGCACAGATGCGAACACAGATCGAAGCATTGCGAGCCACTCAACAGCAGCAAGCACAGCAGACGGCATCGATGACGGCAAACGGATTGCCACCGGATGTTGGAGCAGCATTCACTGCACTGGCGAACAGCCAGATGGAGTTGGTTGCGACTCTCAAGACCAAGGACAAAAGGCAGATGTCTCTCATCGACAACAAAGGCCTGGCGAAGCCTGAGAAGTTCACTGGAAGGGAAGAGAGCTTCCTATACTGGCGAACGCGGCTTGAAGCGTTTGTGACATCGGTTTTCAGCGACTTTGATGATGTGCTACCCTGGTGCGAGGAATGCACTCAAACCATCACAGAAAGAGACATCGAGAACGCTTGGGGAGAGATCTCACCAACTCAAAGCCATTGCAAAGAGATCCAACAGATGAACGCGCAGCTCTTCGCGGTCCTACAGACGCTCTGCGAAGGTGAAGCCTTTACTATAGTTCGTTCCTCTGGTAAGAACAACGGACTTGAGGCCTGGTGTCGGTTGGTTCGCCGATTCGACCCGTCAACGGGTGGCCGAAGAAGAACCATGTTGAGACACATCCTCAACCCACAGAAGTGCAACAAGCTTGAGGACCTGTCCAACACCATCGAACTTTGGGAGGAACAACTCAGGCTTTATGAGTCGAGGAAGCGCAGTGACGGGACGCGGCACACCCTAGACGATGAGATCAAAATTGCTGTGATCGAACACCTATGCCCTTCCGAACTGGAACGTCACTTGCAGTTGAACCGCGCTCGATATGGCACGTATCAGATCGCTTGAAGATTGGCAGTGCGGCTCAACCTGATGATGTCGTTCCTATGGACATCGGCGGCTTCGGCAAGGGCGGCAAGAAAGGTGGCAAAGGCAAAGACAAGAACAAGGATTCCAAGGGCGGCAAAGGAGGAAAGAAGGGAGGCTACAACAACTGACAGCCTCGAGACAAAGGAAAAGGAGGAAAGACATCGGCTCCAAGCGGCAAAGGCACAAAGACCGAGGATCGAAGGTGTCACAACTGCGGCAAAGTCGGGCACCTGGTGAAGGATTGCTGGCAAGCTGGAGGGGGCGGACGTGGCCGAGGTGGAAAAGGCCAAGACGCCAAGGGTGTCAGCAGCCTAGACGAGGACCTCGAGCCGGAAGCTGAGGAAGTAGAGACCGGGTTTTTGAGCCTTGCTGGATTGGAGACGGTCAAGGAAGAGACAGAGGACCACGACGAAGAGTATGAGATGGTTGACAAGAGAAGAAGAGAAGGAAGGCAGCCATGCATCGCAAAGCAGGAAGCGTCCAGAGGCGCGAGGAGTTCAAGCAGGCGGACTTGGCTTGGCATGCAGAGTTCGACGATGCCGGTGAAGGAAGAGGAATATGAGGATGACACTGCAGGCGGCATGGAGACTGAAGCAGTTTCTGCAGTGGATGACAAGACTGTCCGCATCCACACCGGACAGGCAAGGCAGGTGAGCGCGAGCGCCATCAAGTCTGAAGAAAAGGGCAATCTGTTCGAGTTCAAGAAGAAATATCGCAGGCTGACACAGGACGAAGTGGAGAAGTTCAAGACTGAAACCAAAGGTGATGAGCTTCAAGTGATCAGGAAGAAGAGAGTGAACATTTTCGCAGGCCGTGTGAGAAAGATGGATAAGCAGAAGAAGGACAAGAGGCGCACCCGCGTCAAAGGGGCCAGAAGAAGGCAGAGGAAAGCAGAAACTGAAGCCTTCTACTTGAACCACCCGAAGGATGCGCTGCGCTGCGAGAAGTTCGTCAAGAACTTTTGCCGAAAGGGATTGGAGTGCCCGATGATCCATTCAGAAGTTGACCGTGAGAAATATCACATCGACGCCCGATACGAGAAGGTTGGCAAGGACATGTCACGAGTGAGGCTCATCCCGAATGAGGCATCGCGGGCTGAGATCAACAGTTTCGGCGCCGATGAGATTGGTCCGCAGGAGTGGACCCACATAGTCGCCAACTTCGATACTGGGGCGGCCGTGACTGCAATCCCAAGCGTACTGAAGCAGAAGCTTGGCTTGGCAGCCTCAGAGACGGTCACCAGGAACTACAAGACTGCGAGCGGCGAGCTGTTAGCTGACGAGGGCGGCACTGTGCTCAACGGCTACGACAACGATGGCCAAGGGCGATCTGTGACTGGACGTCTCGTGAACGTTCACCGCATGTTGGTTTCGGGCTCAGCTGTCGGCAGGAAGAATTGCGTGATGTTGGACGGAAGCACGGGCACCATCATCCCGAACAATGGGCCGATCGCAGATGGCATGCGGCGAAGCTTGAAGCAATTGATCCAAAGGCATCCGAAAGACGCAAAACGCCTGACGAACATGTACGAGCAAGGCGGCATCTACTGCTTCGACCTTTGGCTCCACTGAACTCCGTTGCATCAAGCTTGGATGGAGTTGGACCGTCGCCAGACGGCGAGAGCAATGAGATTCCAGGGCAGCTTTCACCTCCTACAGATTTTGAAGAAGACGATGGAGAGTTGATTTTCGATTCTGTTACAGGTGTTTCTCTTCCTCAAGCAGAGGTGTGGAAAGCAAGAGAAGAGGAACTTCAATGGGTTGAAAAGCAACAGAAATATGAGGTTGCCGACATTGACGAAGCCTGGGAGGTGACAGGAAAGGCGCCAATAACCCTCAAGTGGGTAGACAGAAACAAAGGGGATTGGGAGCGACCGAACTACCGATCCCGCCTCGTGGTGCGAGAGGTGAAAAATAAGGGTCAAATGGTCGAGACTCGAGGACTCAGAACTGTTCTCGGCTATGCCTCCGCTGGAAGCACTCAAGGTTCTATGCAGCCTCATGGTGTCACAGAAGACCAGCAAGCATGGCGGACGTTTGAAGTTGAGAATCCTCGACATTAGCAGGGCACAATTCTACGGATTGTCTAGAAGGCCAGTTTACACGAACTTGCCACCGGGACGTGAGGTTCCCGGGAAGTGTGCAAAGTTGTTGAAGACTATGTATGGTACACAAGACGCATCATCTGTGTGGCAGGAGACATACACCAAGCTGTTAGAGGAACATGGAATTGTTCACGGTACAGCATGGCCAGCGATCTTTGACCACGAACCCACAGACTCAAGATTCTTGTGTCACGGAGACGATTTCGTTGTACTGGCAGACTCAAAGGGGCAACAATTCGTCGAAGACGCGCTGAAGAAGAAATTTGAGTTCAGAGTTGACGGATCCATCGGTCCTGACGCATGCGATGGAACTTCGATGACAGTGCTCAACCGCATTTTGGAGTTCGACCGTGCGACGGGCAAGGTCCGCTATGAAGCAGACCCTAGGCACGCAGAAACAGTTTTTCGACAGCTCAACCTCGCAGATGCAAAGCCAGTTGCTACACCCGCTGAGAAGGTCAGTGCCCACAAAACTCTTGCGGCAAGCGGACTCCCACCGCTTCCAGCTGATCGAGCTAGCTTGTATCGATCAGTTGTTATGCGCTGTGCTTACCTCAGCCAGGACAGGGTTGACATCTGTGAGAGTGTCAAGAGCTTGGCGCGCTTCATGGCATCGCCCACGGAGCATTCATGGGGAAAGCTCAAGAGATTGGGACGGTATCTCAAAGGCTGTCCACGTGTGATCCAAGAGTTTTGCCCCCAAGACGCCTACAACAGCATTGTCTGCTACACTGACAGTGACCACGCAGGGTGCTTGTTTACACGAAAGAGCACCAGTGGCGTTGTATGCATGGCAGGCAAGCATTGGTTAAAGACCTCCTCAACGGTACAATTTAGCGATTTCAGTATCGAGTGGAGAAAGCGAGTTCTACTCAATAGTCAAAGCAGCTTCAGCTGGACTCGGACTACGTGCACTGTATGCTGAATGGCACATAGCAGTGTCGGTGGTGGTCAAGTCTGACTCTTCGGCTGCTCGTGGCAGGTGTTCGAGGAGGGTCTTGGAAAGACCCGACACGTACAAACAAGATACCTATGGGTACAACAGCAGGTTAAGAGCAAGGAGATTGACCTCCGCTCGGTGTCAACACACGAGAACCTTAGTGATGTTTGCGCCAAGCCTGTGAGTCGCGAGTTATGTCAGAGACACATGAAGACGATTGGGCAGCGCATCCAAGACGGAAGGTCTGAGAGCGCGAAACATGTTCTATGAGACTTCGTGAGCTAAGCCCACGTCGTCTAGGAGGGGTGAAGACATATCCCCATGTTTCGTATCGTCACGACATGACCGCTTTTGGCTCAAGAAATCTGACCGTGCTGCTGTGCGCGTTTGAACTTGCATACCTTTGTGCAATATACTGGGTGGACCTCATATGCTGATTATATGTTAGACATGACATGTAGTAGCTAAAAAGAGATGTCACAGATGTACGCAGAAGCTCGCTCTCCCTTCTTTTGTTCGGTTGCCCGGCCGGTCACAGGTACCCTTGGGTCCCACCGGTGGAACAATCGGGTGAATCACGGGGTCGTTCCAGGTTCGGCTCGTGGAGATGTCGGGATCTTCGCGAGATCGGTCCGGGTGGAGCGTGATTTCTTTTCAATTTTGCTCTTTGCAACAGTGTGAAGAGGTCTTTTGTTTTACAAAATATTTTGAGCGCTTTTCCGATTCTCGCCATCATTTGATCTTCTTTGATCTTCTTTCAAGGGCTTCCCCCCGCACACTGGGCGCTGCAAGGATGTGATCCAGCAGTGTGGGCAAGTGCATCCAAGCTTCAAAGCAGATCTGAAGGATTTGGTGGAGAAAACGCGATTGCAGCTGTCCAGCAGGTTCACAGCTTTGTCCCCCGAGATTCGTCCAGCTGGAGGGGATTCGGGTGACCACTCTGGTGACTCTGCCTGAGAACTACACTTAGATGCATACATGGGGGTATGTTTTGAAGAACCATCCTGACTCTTGGTAGTGTGATCTTTGAGAGAACGAAGGAAAGCGTTTGCCCCTGACTCTTGTGGAGCTCTTGAACGGGCATTGGGGTAAAGGCCCGATTTCGTCCACAAATTTCTACTTAGCGTGCTGCCTCTG